GCAGCCGAGGAGTGGGGCAGCTGGTCAATGATACTCTCTCATCATTGATGTTTCTATCTCTCCCACCCCCTTCCTCTGTGAAATCAACAAAAATATATTTTTTAAAGAGATATTAAAACTTAAAGATAACCAATCACAAACACCCAATTAGGCTGTAAGCTGTAGCCAAATAATTCACTTTCTGTGCTTGCAACCTTCTCCATAGGAATATTTCACCTGGCTCCTGGCAGCAGGCAGCTTCTCACTACTTACAATTGTGCTGCCTGATTCAATTTGATTTTTGCTCAAATAAATTCTTCTTATTTTTAGTTCCCCTCAGTTCATATTTTAAAAACCTATAAGTACACCAACCATTAACAAACTTAAGCAACCTGCACAAATTATACATTAAAGTTGAACAGTGAAATTGAGGATTGTGGTCTTTTTTTAAACCCTGAAATAGTGTTTTTTCAGCCTTCTTCATGGCTGCCTCCATGTTCCTGTGCGAGAGAACAGGAGGAATGCCAAATCCACTGGTACCAAAGACATATCTTTGTCGTCCACCAGTAAAGCCAATTTCTGTACATCAAAGCAGAACTTCCCAAAATAACAGCAAGAAAAGTTAAGGGTTTCCATTTGTTCCTAAAATAACATAAATTTAAAAGAAGGACCTATGTAAGACTTTCATCAATAAAAAATTTTAAAAATATAAAAAAATAACATACAAATTTAAAAGCATTTAAACGGGTAGAAATCTTTTAAAAATACGTGAAAGTAAACATGGAACAAAGCACTTACTTTGGTCAGGTTTAACGATTTCCTTGATGCAGTTGTGGTTGAATAGACTCGAGACGAACTTGGTGAGAGCTGATTAGAGGTTTTGGGGACCCAAAAGCAATGTAGAACTAAAAAAGAGTGGAGGAACCCTGCTGAGGGGCTCAGTTGGTTGGAGCGTCATCCTGAACGCCAAAAGGTCTTGGGTTTGATTACCGGTGAGGGCACATACCCAGGTGTTGGGGCGCCTGGGGTAGGCATTCAATTGATGTTTCTCTCACATCAGTGTTTCTCTCCCACATCAATGTTTCTCTCTTGCTCTAAAAAAAAAAAAAATCAATAAAAACATCCTCAGGTGAAAAAAAAAAAGTGTTGGAAAATGGAAAAAAATAGAGAGAAAATGCTACCTAAATAGCATTTTTTGATACAGATGATATTCCCTAGGAGAGAGCTGATAAAAAAAAAAAAAAATCAATAAAAACATCCTCAGGTGAGAAAAAAAAAGTGTTGGAAAATGGAAAAAAATAGAGAGAAAATGCTACCTAAATAGCATTTTTTGATACAGATGATATTCCCTAGGACATGAGAGCTGATAATCTCAGAGAACCTTTCTCTTGTCTTTTGCCTTCAGGAGAACCAAGCACTATCTCCAAACCGATATCTTCAACGTACAAGACACACCCAGGCCAAAACCAGAGGGAAAAAAGGTACTGCCTCTCATTCCTGGGCTTTTCAACTCAAAACTCAAGCTCCTCCCACTTCCACGGGGGGTGGGGGGAAGTCCTCTCATCTGCATCAGAAGCTTTGGAGAAGGGACACCTGGGAACCTGGTAAATTGAAAACCAAACTGCGTAAAAGGTACAGGCATGCCTCCAATTGTGGGGATTGTTGGCGTTGGCCCTAAGATTTGTAGGGAGAGGGGAGAGGGACAATTTTATGTCACCATTAATTCTCATTTAAAGTCAATATTAAAACTGCATAATCTCACCCTAACTGGTTTGGCTCAATGGATAGAGCATCGGCCTGTGGACTGAAGGGTCCCAGGTTTGATTCCAGTCAAGGGCATGTACCTTGGTTGCGGGCACATCCCCAGTAGGGGGTGTGCAGGAGGCAGCTGATCGATATTTATAACTCTCTATCCCTCTCCCTTCCTCTCTGTAAAAAATCAATAAAATATATATTTTTTAAAAACTAAAGACTCCATCAGAAAACTATTAGACTTAATAAAAGAATTCGGCAATGTAGCAGGATACAAAATTAACGCCAAGAAATCTATGGCATTTCTATACACCAATAGTGAACTTGCAGAAAGAGAGACTAAAAAAACAATCCCATTTATCATCGCACCAAAAAAATTAAGCTACCTAGGAATAAACTTAATGAAAGAGGTAAAAGACCTCTACTCAGAAAACTACAGGACGTTGAAAAAAGAGATAGAGGAAGACATAAACAGATGGAAGAACATACTGTGTTCATGGATTGGTAGAATCAACATCATTAAAATGTCCATACTGCCCAAAGCAATCTATAAATTCAACGCACTTCCCATTAAAATACCAACGGCATATTTCACAGACCTATGGGGCAGGTGAAGGCAGCCCCAGGACCCAGGCTCTGGGGAGTTTTTGTCTCACTTCCCCGTGAGCCTGGAGCTCTGTGTTCTTAGTATAGCCACTGTCATAGGACTGACAGTAGTAATCGGCCTCATCCTCGGGCTGCAGCCCTGAGATGGTCAGGTGGGCGGCGTTGGAGGAGCTGTCAATGGAGCCAGAGAACCGATCTGGGACCCCCGAGGGTCTTTCATCATCTCCGTAGATCACCATGGTGGGGGCCCTGCCCGGGCGCTGCTGGTACCAGGACACATAGTAGCCTCCAATGCTGCCGCTGCTGCGGGTGCAGGAGATGACGGCCTTCTGTCCCGGAGACCCCGACACAGAGCCGGGCTGAGTAAACACAACCTCCGCCCAGGACCCTGCAAGGAGGGGGCGACACAGACATCAGAGGGGACAGCGCAGACCCCTGGCCCAGGGAGGGAGGGAGAGGTCATGCTCCCGGGTGACAGTCAGGTGCCCCCCCAAACTCCCCTCAGGCACCACCTGTGCAGTGAGCCAGGAGGGCGAGGAGAAGGGGAGCCCCATCCATGGTGCACAGGCCCCCACACTCTGCTCCCTGAGCCGCACAGCCAGGCTGAGCCCTCACCTTCTTATGAGCCCTGATCCCCAGGGGGAGGCTCCATGCAAATCTCCCCCTGTCTGCAGGCTGCTCAGCTCCTCCTTCACACTTGGCCTTGGTCCCACCAGAGAGAAAAGCCTGAGATGGGGCCTTATTCCCACAGAAGACCTGCCTGAGGCTGGGGGCGGAGGAGGGGGGGGGCACAGCTGAGCTACTGGGGAGCAGCCAGCAGGGGCTTCTACCACAGCGCCCCTGGGGGACACAGGGCGCAGGTCAGCCCTTGGGGATTGAAAGGGTAGCATGAGGAGGAGAGGGTGCAGGCCAGGGGCACACAGCTGGGCCCAGAGTGGACTCGGGCAGCCCTGCGCCCCCCTGGCAGCCTTGCCTAGGAAAGGGCTGGTTGTGGAGGTCTGGCCCCGACTTCCTTCTGGCCGCCCCTCTCCCTGCGCAGTAATAAGGCCCTGGGCTCCCATCTGTGGTTGGAAGAGGCCGTCAGCTGGTCCTGCTGTCCCCTGTGAGCAGCCTGGGAGAGGCCGCTGCTGGGCAGCCCCTGTCGGGAGGTGGGAGCAGGAGCTTCTGCTCAGAAGCCTCTGGGCCCGCATGTCCCTCTGTGAGCACAGAGCTCAGTCCTGGGCTGGGTGGTGCCTGGCCTTCCGGCACGGGGCCTCCCTCAGCCCCTAGATGGCCCCGCGGCTCCTGCCCCTCCTGCCGCTGTCACGCTCTGGCCTGTCCCATGGCTCTGACTTCCTGTCCTCTGCCCTGGCCGCTGGCTGATCACAGGGATTTAAAAGCCTGTGGGGCCAGGTGATTGTCAAGGGCGGGGAAAAAAGGAGCCATATGTAATACTCTTTGTAATACTTTAAGCAATTTAAAAAAATTTTTTTAAAAAACTGTGTAATCTCTACAAGTTAATAATTGAACACAAGAAGCATCCATCTTGCCCTGGCCAGTATGGTTCAGTGGATAGAGCGTCGGCTCTGAGGACTGAAGGGTCCCGGGTTCAATTCCGGTCAAGGGGTATATACCTCGGTTGCAGCTCCTCCGGTCTAGGCGCGTACAGGAGGCAGCCAGTCGATGTGTTTCTGTCACATCAATATTTCTCTCTGTCTTTCCCGGTCTTTTCCACTCTCTAAAAATCAATGGAAAAATGTCCTCGGGTGGGGATTAAAATAAAAAAGAACATAGCCCTTGCTTGTTTGGCTCAATGGATAGAGCACTGGCCTGTGGACTGAAGGGTCCCAGGTTCAATTCCCTCCAAGGGCAATATGCCTGGGTTGCTGGCTCAATCCCCAGTTGAGGGCATTCAGAAGGCAGCCAATCAATGATTCCCTCTCATCATTGATGTTTCTCTTTCTCTCTTTCCCTCTCCCTTTCTCTCTGAAATAAATAAAAATGATTTTTTAAAAAGAATCAATCTTGCAATATTAGTATTATGCATTTTTATAAATCATATGCTGCAGTTAACTAGGTAAGCACCGTCACTGCATTAACATTAACAATGCAATGTGGAAAAGACAGCTAGAACACTTAAAAGACAGCTAGAAGAGGGCCTGCAGATTCCTCCCCAGCTTAGTTGTTTTGTACAGAACAAGAATAGCCACGCAACCCAATGTGATACGAGGGTGTGGGCCCACAGCCATTTAGACTGAACTTCCCTTCCTGCTCAAGATAATTGCATTTAAAGGACTCCTTGGAATTGTTAAATACAGAAATTCTGAAAAAGAATCGAAGCACATTCCAATGTAGGTCCCAGGTTGATCCCCCAGATGCCCTACCCAGGAAAATGAGCCTGGGACTCTTGCTAACAATGCCAACCTCAAAACTCCTCCCTGTCCAGGAGTCAGCTGTGGAAGAGAGAGAGATGCCTGTGGGACTCCTTCAACCAAGGTGTAGTGCCACCAAAGCCCCAGGAACTATGATCCTGGAGTGTCCGGTCTGTTTTTTAAAAAATGTAAGTTACGCCCTGACCGGTTTGGCTCAGTGGATAGAGCGCTGGCCTGTGGACTGAAGGGTCCCGGGTTCGAGTCTGGTCAAGGGCATGTACCTTGGCTGTGGGCACATCCCCAGTGGGGGGTGTGCAGGAGGCAGCTGATCGATGTGTCTCTCTCATCGATGTTTCTAACTCTCTATCCCTCTCCCTTCCTCTCTGTAAAAAAATCAATAAAATATATATTTTAAAAAAATGTAAGTTACTAAAGGCGAGAGCCACAGCTCCTACTTCTGCACCTAGTGAACACAGTAAGTAACATATGCACTGAGTATAATTAAGTATTCATTTAGTGCAGTGGTTCTCAACCTTCCTAATGCCTCGACCCTTTAATACAGTTCCTCATGTGGTGACTCCCAACCATAAAATTATTTTCGTTGCTACTTCATAACTGTAATTTTGCTACTGTTATGAATCATAATGTAAAAATCTGATATGCAGGATGTATTTTCATTGTTACAAATTGAACATAATCAAAGCATAGTGATTAATCACAAAAACAATACGTAATTATATATGTGTTTTCCGATGGTCTTAGGCGACCCCTGTGAAAGGGTCGTTCGACCCCCAAAGGGGTCGAGACCCACAGGTTGAGAACCGCTTATTTAGTGAAACAAATGGGTAGTAATCTAAGAACTAGGTTCTGGCCCACTCTATACCTGATGTGGAAGATAGTAATTGAATCAGATCCTTAGCAAATGTCTTTACATCAATCCACAGTAGATGAACAGAATATTTTTGTAAAACATTTCATTCAAAGTGTGCTAACCTAACTCAAGTTAGGAAGACAGTTAGATCTAAAATATAACTTTCCTGAGTCATGATTCTATTTAGCAAATTAAGTCATTGCCCCTGGAAAGCCTGGCTTTAGTTTTGAGCAACTAATCTAAAAGATGATAGCCTGGAGCTTGCAGGGTGGAGTGAGCACTAATGGGTTATATGGCTAAAAACATAGCCGCTCAGCTGCCTTAGTGCTAAACATCAAGTCAGGCACTCAACTAGAATTCAAATTCTGCTACCCCATTTGCTACCTATAATTCTTGGACAAGGCAGTTAACCTTTTTGCATTTCATCTGTAAAATGGAAATGATAGTAATCCTGACCTCATTGGTGAGACTAATGTAGGTGGAATAACTTTATTGACTCTAAGCTCTGTACATATGTTAACTAATTTTCACGTCAACTACTGTAATTGCCCAAATGGCTAATATTGGCCAAAAACCATATACCTCAAATTTTTTAATCACATTCTGTACTGTTATATTTTATATATTTCTAGGAGATGGGCAATAGGAAAAAAATTTACTAATGTATTTCCATTTCCATTTATGACTTTCAAAGGAAACAATTTATGTCAAGTCTTAATATCTTCATTGGAGACATGAATAAGAGCAAATGATTGGAATAAACCTAATTGCCCATAAAGAGGCTGGTAAAATAAGTTATGGCTTCTCTATCTTATAGAATACTATTCAGCTTTCAAAAAATAAAATAGGGCCCGGCCGGTGTGGCTCAGTGGTTGAGTGTCCACTCAGGAACCAAGAGGTCACCAGTTCGATTCCCGGTCAGGGCACATGCTGGGGTTGTGGGCTCAGTCCCCAGGAGGGGGTGTGCAGGAAGCAACTGATCAATGATGTTCCTCTCATCACTCTCCCTTCCTCTCTAAAAATCAATACAAATGTATTTTTTTTAAAAAGAAGCATGCTTCATATTAAAAAAAAAAACTTAAACAGGGAAGGAAGCTCTTTAGGAATAGTGACATGAAGATCTCCGATGTGTTAAATGAAAAAAGCAAGATGCAGACTTCTATGTGTGATATATCACTATTTAGATTTTTTTAAAAGGGGGAGTGTGCCCTAGCCTGTTTGGCTCAGTGGATAGAGCATTGGCCCTCAGACTGAAAGGTCCTGGGTTCGATTCCAGTTAAGGGCACATACCTCAGCTGCAGGCTCAGTCCCCTGCCTGAGTCGGGACACGTGTGGGAGGCAACCAATCAATGTGTCTCTCACATCGATGTTTCTCTCTTTGTGCCTCCCCCTTCCTTCCACACTCTCTAAGAATCAATGGAAAAATATCCTTGGTTGAGAATTAACAACAACAAAAAAAAGGGTGGGGGTGGGGATGGGGATGTGGGAGGACAATCTGCTCCTAATTCTTTAAAATTTTTGTTGAATTTGCCCTAGCCGGTTTGGCTCAGTGGATAGAGCGTCAGCCTGTGGACTGAAGGGTCCCGGGTTCGATTCCGGTCAAGGGCATGTACCTTGGTTGCGGGCACATCCCCAGTAGGGGGTGTGCAGGAAGCAGCTGATCGATGTTTCTCTCTCATCGATGTTTCTAACTCTCTATCCCTCTCCCTTCCTCTCTGTAAAAAATCAATAAAATATATTTTAAAAAAATTTTTGTTGAATTTATTTAGGTGATATTGGTTAATAAAATTATATAGGTTTCAGCCCTAGCCTGTTTGGCTCAATGGATAGAGCATCAGCCTGCAGACTAAATGGTCCCAAGTTTGATTACGGTCAAGGGCATGTACCTAGGTTGCGGGCTTCTCCCAGTCCAGGCCCTAGTCGGGGCTCTTGCAGGAGACAACCAATCAATGTGTGTCTCTCATATCGAAGTTTCTCTTTGTCTTGCCCTCTCTCTTCCACTCTCCCTAAAAATCAATGGAAAAATATCCTCGGGTGAGGATTAACAAAAATAATAAAAATATATAGGTTTCAGGTGTTAACAATTCTAGAATATACCATCTGCATAGTATTGTGTGTCCACCACCCCAACTCAAGCCTCCTTCCTACACCTTTTATCTCCCCTTTACCCTCTTCTACCTTCCATACCCGCCTTTCCCTCTGATAATCACCATATACTATTGTCGGTCTATGAGTTGTTATTTTTTTGCTTAATCCCTTAATCTTTGTCACCCAGACCCCAATCCCGACAGTCGTCAGTCTGTTCTTTGTATCTAATGAGTCTGTTTTCATTTTGTTAGTTTATTTTGTTCAATAGATTC